TCCCAGGTGATGCTAGTAGTATGCCAGATAGTGCTACTAGCATTCCAGGTAATGGAGAAGCAACCTTGAAGTTTGAAGCTGACCTACTTTGGAGCTCACTTTTTTTGATCGATACGTAAGTGAGCTTCAAATTTGGAGTTCATGCACTTTGATGCTAACTTTTTTTTTGACCACAATAAGGTTATTCTCCGAGAATAACGATTTTTTATAAAGTTTGATCAAAGTGTTTCGGGGTCCAGGAATCCGAATTACTGACTGGTGTCTCAAAATTTTTGAGTTTGACGTGAAGTAGCAGCAGCTCCCTCATATACTAATACAAATATCAATACCAGTCAATACCAATTGGTATTGGTATTGACGGTATTGGTATTGTTACATCCCCGCTTGTACTTCGCTGTACTTCAGTTGTACTTCACTTTTATCTTGAAGTAGATGAAGTCTCGCTTTTCTCCCCTTGCTTTATTCTGAACAATTATTAATAGTTACTATTGATTGACAGCTGATTGACAATGATTGACATGATTGACAAGTGATTGACAAGTGATTGATAATGATTGACAATGATTGCTTTGATTTCAATCAGCTTTTTCCCCCTTGCTCGCCACTCAACATCACTTGACATGGTGAGTGCCTTTGCCAAAGTCAAAATTCAAAGGGTAATCACTATCCCGCTCCTGTTGATCTTTGACTCCACACAGATACAGATATTGAACATTACATAATTATATAGATTTACTCTTAAAACACGATGTTAGCCCGAATGATTATTATATTAGTTAACAACTCAACAACCTCTAAAAATTGGGAACACTAAAATTTAAAAAGCAATTTATCAGTTCGTGCTGCTCCCTCGTGACTGCAGACTTCTCAGATTTTGATCTATCACTCTCTTACCTCAACTCAATGTACATACATACCATTTGAAAAATTTTCCGAGAAAAGAGCTAACTTGTAAACAGTAAGTGGTGTCAAATATCCCAAAAGTCGGGCAAAAGAGAGACCGCATCTCCCACATCTCCTCATAAAAATTTTTCTTTTGATCTTCAACCTCAAACTGCTGAAACAGATGCATGTCTTATTGGAGATCACACTCAGCGAAGACATAAGCCCTTTGTGTGTTTTAGTTCTCATCGTCAAGGAAAAATGTGTCTTATGCTTATTTTTCGTCTTTAACCGCCGGTAAGAGATGTTCCATCTATAATACATATATATTGCTCAGTGTCTGTTGGTTTCTCTGTCCAAGGTCAAAGGTTGAACGGTATAGGGGGCGAAGCCATTCGGGATAGGGCTATAGGAAATTGAACTCAAGAGGATAAGGAGACAGGGAATAGGGTCATAGCGGGTATGGGGTGGCGAACTGGGATATAGAGATTGGGACATAGGCGATGGGCTATAAGAGTATATGGAATAAGGCTACAAGTGTACAAGAAAATAGAAACACAGAAATGAATAAGACCACATCGGATGAAGCTACAGCAATATAACCCTACAAGGATAAAAGGCTATAAGATCTATCTGTATATATAACGAGAGGTTTCTGATTGTCAATTATCGAGCCAATGTTAAAACACAGATGTATTGCCCTATTCATAAATTCGGTTCTCGATGTCTGCTCACTGACACTATCTGTCAAAATTCAACATGTCAAAATCAAGATCAATGTATTCCTAATGATGATTATATTATATCCAAGCTAAAATTTAGCTGTATTTGTCCAAAAGGATTCATTGGTGATCAATATGAAACAAGTGATAATAAACTTATTCTATCATTTGAAAAAAACATTATTTTATCTCAATCAATATTTATTCATTTCATTGAAGTTATTTACAATACTACACCAGCAAGAGCAACTACTTTTAAAACAATACTTGTTAGAAAAAATTCAATTATAATTCATTGGTCACAACCATTTTATCTTGTTTTTATTGAATCATTCAATAAAATTTATTATTTAGTTTATCTTCAAAAAATTTATAATGGATCAACAACAATTAATAAAACAATAAATTCATTTGATCGTTTTCAAAATATAAGTAGATTATTTAATGAAAGTATTGTTAAATTAGATCTTATTCGTCGTATTAAATATTATCATTTACCATGTGAAATATATTCTCCAAATTTAAAATGTTTTTATGATGATATTCATCTTTGTTTATGTTATGATTTTAATCAAAAACGTTTATCTAATTGTTTTGAATTTGATCATAATATGACATTTGATTGTTCTGGTCAAAGTGTTTGTGAAAATGGTGGTCAATGTTTTCAAGATAATTTAGATTGTCCACATAAATTAATATGCATTTATCCATCATGTTTTTATGGAACACGATGTCAATTTCGTACAAGTGGATTTGATTTATCACTTGATTCAATTTTAAGTTATCATATTCTACCAAATATTGGTATTAATCATCAATCAATTATTGTAAAAATAAGTTTATCATTAACTATAATATTTATGATAACAGGATTCGTTAATGGTATACTTTGTACAATTATATTTAAAAATAAAACTGTATGTGAAGTTGGTTGTGGTTTATATTTATTAGGTTCATCAATAACAACTTTACTTACAACAATTATATTTGGATTGAAATTTTTAATACTTATTCTTGCACAAATGACAATTATATCAAATAGCTTATTTTTACAAATTCAATGTCATTCACTTGATTTTCTTTTAAAAGTTTTTCTTAATATGGATCAATGGTTAAATGCATGTGTAACTATGAAAAGAGCTTTTACTACAATTAAAGGTACTCGTTTTAATAAGAAAAAAGTAAACAGACAGCTAAATTAGTTATTTTTGTTCTTGTAATTTTTATTGTTGCCACATCTATTCATGATCCTATTTATCGACATTTGATTGATGAAGAAAAATATGATGATGATGATGATGAAAAACGACCCGTGTAATCACCAAACGCATTCTAGACGCGTTTATATGCGTTTTTTTGCAATTTTCGGCATCCTAACGCGTTTCTTTACAGAAGCGTTCCAGAAACGCACCCACAAGCGTTTTTTGTGAACACGTTTAGAGAATATGAATCGTTTGTACGCGTTAATATATATAGACGCGTACTGATGCGTTTAAATTCTCGTTCAAAACGCATTGACACGCATCTCTGTCTATGTATGCATTAGGATGATACTCAATAATTAAATGACAGTATTTTTCCTTGAATAAACGCTTTATAATTGATAGATTCGAGAAAACGTGCTCCAAATAATGCGTCTGCCAATGCAAGAATTTGCAGACACACGTTCAAATACATTTCCTTCCGAAATACAACCGGATCGATTGTTATAAAATTAACCAAGTTGATGTAGATAAATATTTGACCAAGAAAGTTGTGTTTGGACGAAAATGTGAATATGAGTTCGAAGACAGGCGTCTTCGTTAGAACGATATTAATATTTGAAGGAAGGCTTAGTATCATGTTACCACATCATATCAACTGAAAGCTAGAATTTGGAAGGAAAAAATTATATTTCGAATTCAGTTAGGTAGATATATAAGTCTTCCTACTGATTCATTTAGGAATAAAAACTAAAATGTCCTCTGAAAATTTCTCTGTTGTGCATGTTTTAAGAATGATAATTTTTGGAGTTTTTCTTTAATTCTTACAGTGGTTTTCATTACCCTCTATTTTCATTACTTCAACATATAGAAATTGAGAAGCACATCAATCGATTTAAGTCTTGAATAACTATCGAAATAGTCGATTCTATAAGACAAACTGTCTATTCTACTTTAATTCAGATAGCTTGACAATATTTTTTTGCTTTATTGTAATAGTCAGTTTTCATCGGTGTCTTTAACATTTAGTCAAGTTCTCATGTAAACATGAAAAGTAAAATTGATACATCTCAACCTTGCTCAGAAGAAACGTTTACTTTATATTAAAGCACTTACTTCTGGTGTTTCAGAGTCACTCATATCTGAAAAATATTTAGATGGGTTCACTTTGATTTAATAGATAAATTATTTCAAAGAAATACTCCTCTTACGATTAATCGTTATTTATAAACCTTTTATTGAAAAAATAAAACTGTTGGCAAAACTAAATGTATTCTTATACTTGTACTACTAAAATATTTAATGATATACCCACAGTAGATCATTATCGATGTTAAAGTATTTATTATCAATATCATCGTCTCATTTCTACTTCAACAAAATAATTCTGTGAAAATATTGTTTTTATTTTCAATTATTTTATTTTATTTTATTATCTATTTCATTTTATATAAACATAACGAGCAATGCTTGTCCAGATAGAGGGATTAGTTATCTTTGTTGTTCCTTATAATAAAGAACAAATATCAGGAACATATTTATGTTTATAAAGTATAGATAAATAAACAAAAATGTCTTTATTATTTAAAAGATTAAGATAAATAATTTTGTTATGCATGTTTATAAAATATATTTAAGTATTTTATTTTTAAAGAAATAAACTTAAATGAAAAAATAAGAAGAGTTTTTTTTTTCAATTAAATCATAGTTTTATATTTTTTTCTAAATAGCTTTAAGAAAATTATAATTTTATGGATACAAATAAGTACACAAGTAAGAGTTTGTATACTATCCTTATTATTAACAAAGTTATAATTAAAACATATTATTATGATACTAAGGGACATTAGTTGATGTGTTATAGGAAATATTTGTCTGTTTACATATAAAAGAAACAGATATTTTTTGTTCTTTTATTTTTATTTATTTTTTAAAAATAAAGAATTTCTTTAAATTTATTTAATAAAAAATATTTTTTTTTTATCTTTATTTAATAAATATCAATATTTATTCAATAATTATTTTATGAACTAAAAATACATAAATATTCTTTTTCTCAAATTTATGAGAAATTCACTAAAAAAAAATTCTTCATGTTATTCAAGAACATCGAAACAACTTCGAGCTGTTTCGAGCTCAGTGTTACTTGTTTGGTTTGTAATCGTATAGTTGAGTGTTCGAATCTATGTTCAAGCAAACACTAAAACTATTGCCACTCTGTTGCTCACTATATCTAAGTGTTATACGATGGTTAGCTATGGTGCATCGGCTCGAATCCGATACAGAGTGATGGTTAGTTTTTAAAATTTTGAGAATAAACTGAACGCGTTCGAGATAGAAAGCGCGTTTAAACCAGCTTACAAATATAAACGAGTTGTGACGCTTTGGAAAATTCGAATGAGTGAAGACACGTTTACTTAATCTGAACGCGTCTACACGGTTGAAAATGTTGCATTCTGGATGCGTTCAAACGCGTTAAGTTACATTGCTTGTAAACGCTCAGAGACGCGTTCAAAACGTAAAAATGGTTACATGGGAAATGAAGATATCAAAGAGATATTTTCATTCGATTTTTTTTGACAATCTAATTCATTTATTTTTTGATTAAAATATTTGACAAATTCAAAGTTAGAATTAACAATGTATATGGCATTAAACATGCTTTCATCTTGAAAAATATCTCGCATCTAAATAATAAAATCAAATGAGAACATCAAAAGCATTCAGATATATATTAATTCAACATAATAAAATTCATTATTATTAATTTATGCAATTCTTGATGCTACTATATTTGAAATGTAACCAATCGTTTTCAACACTATTGCTTTAAGTGATTCTATAGTCTCAGGTAGAGAAATTATAATAAATATTAATGATATATTAACAAATAAATACGACAAATGTAAATAATCCTTTTAGTGAATTTATCATGCATAATATTAAAACAAAGTTTATATGAAGCTAACTAACATAAGTTATAATCAGTATGATATGAAGAACCGTTTTTAAATTTCCTTTTCATGAATTAAAGTGTTCATTGGTGTCACTCTTTATCTATTCATCAAATATACAGAATTGGTTCAATATAAATAAATATAATACATGTTATTGGAGTTGTATAGATGAAAAATGAACTTTATATATCACAGATACTATGGAATTTTAAGAGACATTTGACATATTTGATCGTCTCTAAGGTAAATAATTAATCCTCGAACAAAATTGTAAATGAATAGCGAATTAAAGAATTAGATATGGTTTGTGGCATCAAATACACAGATGAATAGAACTAAGTTAAGACATACAATTGACGTTTTAACATATAGAACACCAATCACATTTCTTTAATTCACTCTTAATTCGTCTAGTCTGTCTGAAATGTATAAGCACGAACTCGCTTATATTTTTCCTCATGTAGCGAACGAATAAATACATTGAACAAATGTTACAGTGGCATCCGTCGAAAGTAAACAAGAGAGAAATGTTTTTTATTTTATTTTATTTTTTTTGAGTGCTTTATTTCTTATTATATATAGATATATATGAACGCTTTTAAGGAGAGAGAAATGTACAATAAACGTCCGCAATGAAATATTCGATATAGATATAAAAAAGCGACGTCACATTATTTGACATCATTGTTCATTGAATAATAATGGTCACGTTTTTCGATGATTTACCTGATCTAACATTGCTCGAAATATTGTCTTATCTATCTTGTGCAGATGCTTTATGGACATTCAGTACACTTAATAACCGTCTAACAATATTATTACTTGAACGAGGTGTCAATCGTCATGTTAATTTGTCATCTACTCAATATTATCAATTCCAAAAACTTTTACCTTTACTTCGATTAAATGAAATAGATTCACTTATTATTGACTGTTATGCATCAGCTCTTCAACTGAGAAAATGGCTCTATTTACCTCATTTAAAAAAATTACAAATAAAAGGTGTGTGCAATTACTTCGACATTTGTCATTTTGTAATGCAGCATGCCAATACATTGACTCATCTTACAATTGAATCGAGCCAGTATCATATTAGAGTAAGTGCATTTAGAAGTTATTTTAAAAGTAAACAAAAACAATCTATAAGACGATCTATGACATATATAAAATTCAGAAATATAAATCTTTGTATATAATGAGACAGCTGATTGATTTTTAGTATATGAAACAAACGATACTAGAAACAAACTTTACGACGACATATGTGAATAAAATTCTTTCGAACGAAAGAATTATTTGAAGTTGTTGCTATCAAACTTGATTTTCGATGGAAAATCAAGTTCAATATATTGAAGGACAGAGCTGTATTCTTCGTAGTTATGATCAACTTAAATATGCGTAACTGCGTATCAACAAATATGTAACTAATCCTGAGCCTATGGGTGCAATATTAATTTTCCTGTACAGTTTAGATGCTTCTCTACTTGTAAGTTTTGGAAGAACTAATGTCAAATTAACGAAAATAATCTTACAACAACTTTACTTTTGTTCTTATGTCAAATAATCTACAAAGACTGAGTCTCATACGTTGGTTTTTTGAGGACGAATTTGTATTGTCGAAAATTTGTATAAGACATGGAAAAGGTTGAATTAGGATGTTGTATACATACTGAGTATCTTTTGTTTCATGTAGGCTGGTTTGACGAATCAAGATTATTCTGTCATATGGAGTTTGGAAACTTTTGAAGATTTCTTGAAGAAAATTCTTCGACGTTTACCTGCTCTTTGCTTGCTCAATTTCGGAACGGAATCCACTTTTTTTCTATCCGCTTGGGATCTCAAAATTATACGAACACCTTTGACATATCTTCGTATTACGTGTTCATCAATAGTCACTATAATTCGTCTCATGTTAACGCAACCATTACGGCATACATTGCAGCAATTCCATGTAAAATTAAACGACAGATTGAGCGATACACATATTAATATATCTCATACAAAACTTTTACCTCGAATGGAGGTATTACACACATTTACTTTTGTCAAGTCATTCAAATGGCATTTCATGGAAGAATGGACATTTCTAGATACGTTGACTTCGTCAAGAGTTATGCCTATTTTACGACGAATGACTTTTTCTATTGTTATTAATGCTGTTGATCTGAATCACATGAATCATTCAACCCTCTTCACTGACTATCGTCATGTTGATGTTCATTATGCATTTATTTT